GGTTCCGAAGGCTCTCTGGCACTTTGTCCCTGGGTGCCAGCAAGCTAGCATAGTTCCTTGAGTTCACACAGGGAAGATTACCATTGATAACATGCAAAAATGAAGTATCTATAGTAATAGTACAATCAGAGCCAAAACAGGTTGTGAGGAAAGCATATGTCCTTATTCTCCTGAGACAGAAGACTGTCGCCCAGAGAAAATGCAGACATGGAGTTCACTTTACCTAGCCTTCAAGGTCAACAGCACCTCCGTTTCAGATGCTATCTTTCCAACAGTATGGAAAAGGCCTGTACTCCAGTCTCTTAACACTCTCCAGAATTCTCTTTTAAGCCTTTTGCGGGCACCTCTCAGTTCTCTCTGTGCTGTCAGGCTGGAATTCCAACCTCTCAAACCTTTTCCCCTTCAGCTCAACTTCAGAGTTCCCTACAGAAAAGTACTTCCTTCTACCAATTGATACACTACAAGAAAATCTGTTTTCTCCTGATTTTGTGTTGGTCTAACTTCATTTGATGTGCTATTCAGTTTTGTTTTTCCTTCCCACTACTTTTGAATATTTTAATTCACTGCCAGTATAAGATTGGAACGAGTGTTGAAAAAAAAATAATACAGTGATGAGATGTTCTCTATTAGAAATATCACTGTCACAACATCTCACAGATGTTTGCTCACTAATTGATTTTGATCTCTGAGGTATTTCACTATTAACCAGCACAAGTGAAAATATAAGCTTAGAGATCTACTGGAGAAAGGACTCAGGAATATGTAACGCATTTGAGCATTTGGTCATATTTATCATTTTTGTCATCTTGAGTGTTCCTTGAGCCTCTCTATATTTGCCTTCACCTTCCATGAAGGGCTATTAAAATGAAAACCTTGTAAGGAACATTTTTTCCCTCCACCTTTATTTTGTATTGTAAAATGTAGGCAAAGTTTACAAAATTTCATGGTAGCAGTTCTTTTTTACATGGGAAGGAAATATCAGGGTATCTATGACCATATTTCAATATTTAGCATTTAAACCAAACATGATAAACCACGGATATTTTTATGTGGGAACTCAATTAAATCTTATAAGGGCCTAATCAAATATTAGTTACTTTCTGGAGTACAGTTACTGTTTTTTTTTTTTTTTTAATATTCATGTGGACACTGCTTTTCATAGATCTAGCAATGTTCTATGTTCTGTATTCCATGTGATATCCTGAATGTGTGCTGCTTGCTTTTGAGAGAAGGTCTAAATAGAATTTATGGTGAAGCAGTATGTGTCAAACAGGAAAAATATTGATTTAATTCATTTTTACCCTGGTGTGTACTGAAATTTTATCAAAAATGATAATATAATTTTTCAGACACCTCCTTAGACTTAATGTTATCATGCCACATTATTGTCTCCTTAGAGTTTTTATCTTCTCTCTACTGCTAGCAGCAGAAATATGTTTGTGTGCATTATGGAAACTGTAATTTTTTATTGGTCTTGGGGCTTGAATTCTGGGTCTGTTTGTTTTCCCTCAGCTCTTCAGGTTAAGGTGAGTGCTACCAATTGAGTGACAGTGCTACTTTCATTTTCTGGTAGTTTATTGGAGATAAGTGTCTCATGGACTTTCCTGCCTGGGCTGGCCTTGAACCTTGATCCTCAGACCTCAGCCTCCTGAATAGCTAGGATTACAGGCATAAGCCACCAGTGCCCTGCAAATCTGTGTATTTTAATGACCAGGTTTATGTATTGTCAAATGTTTCTAAATTGCTATTTAATTTTCCCAGTGAATAGTTAACAAAGCTAGCTGCAAACATTTTATGTAAAACAAAAGCATACCTGCAACATAATGAAATTCCAGGTTGGAATTCTCAAAACCCAGTCTAATTTCTTGATGGAAATGTGCCATTACAGAAGCTGATGTCATTTGATGATGTGGCTGTGAACTTCACCTGGAAGGAGTGGCAGGATCTGGATTCTGGTCAGAGGACCCTTCATAGAGATGTAATGCTGGAGACCTATAGCAACCTCATGTCCTTGGGTGAGCAAAGGTTATTTTTACTTGGAAGATCAAGTGCTTTTATTTTAGTAGACATTAGACTATGTTATTTAGGGAGATGATTCCAGTCCATTCCCAGGTAAAAAACTGCTAGTATATAAGCCAGTCAAATTTGAGTCTGAGAGCTTGGTGTTGTTTGTCTTTCACACTAGTGCTTGAGCCACAATTCTATTTTCACTTTTGTTTTGGGGCATATTCTGAGTTTCCATGCCCAGGTTGGTTTCAAGCCTGCCTCTTCTGATCTCACCTCCTAACTGTAGGATTACAGGTGTAAGCATTTGGACCATTACAATTTCTAAAAAAAAAAGATTCCAGGCCATGGGAATTGTTATTTTTTTCTAAGGGAAACTTCAACTTCATTATATGTAACACAAGAGTTAATTTTATTCTCGTTATTTAGGAAGGCAAATCAATAGTTGGACAAAAGTTCTAAGCTATGATCCACTAATAGGAGACTTACTTCCCAGAGTTGGGTAATTATTATAGGTGGATCTACGGTCTACAATAGAACATAGATTACTACTGACAGTATGCTCTGGAAATCAATAAGTAAAAGTGTGTATTTGTAAGCCAAACCTGCTACAGGGTTTAGTGCTTCAAGCTACCAATCCTAGATACTCTGGAGGCTAACATCTGAAGATTTCAGTTTGAAACCAGCAGTGTAGAAAAATGACCATGACTCTTATCTCCAATTAACCATTCAAAAGCTAGAAATGTAGAGAAGACTCAAACTAGTAGAACGCTATCTTTTAGCAAAAGAGCTGAGTTCAAGCCACACAGTTAGTAAAATAAACCAAAGCTGTATGCTACTCCACCATGGAGCTGTTAAGAATTGAGAAACTGGGCTGGGAACGTGGCTCAGTGGTAGAGTGCTTGCCTTGCATGCTCAAGGCCCTGGGATCTATTCCTCAGCACCACATAAGCAAAAAGAAAAAAGCCAGAAATGGCGCTGTGGCTCAAGTGGTAGAGCTCTAGCCTTGAACTGAAGAGCTGAGGGACAGCAAGCGCCCAGGCCCAGAGTTCAGGCCCCACGACTGGACCAAAAAAAAAAAAAAAAAAAAGAATTGAGAAACCATGGGCTGGGAAGGTGGCTCAGTGGCAGAGGAATTGCCTTCCATACATGAGGCCCTGTGTTGGATTCCCCAGCACCACATAAGCAGAAAAAAAAAAAGCCAGATTTGGCTATGTGGCTCATGTGATACAGTGCTAGCCTTGAGCTGAAGATCTGCCAGACAGTGCCCAGAACCAGAGTTTAGGCCCCAGAACTGGACCCCCAACCCCCAAAAAACAATTGAGGAATCAGAATTAGGAGCAACCTTGTGAACAGGATGTCTGCGACCTTTCGTTATTGATGACCTAGCAAGAGCAATAATTCTCCACTATTTCTTAATCATAGGACACGGTGTTCCTAAACCTAAATTGATTGTGATGCTGGAACAAGGTGCAGATCCTTGGATAAGAGAAGCCTCAGACAAGAATTTCACAGGTCAGTTAAAGCATCTTGAATGGTGATGATGGGTCCAGAGCCCAGTTGGTCTGTTTACCTTGAGCTGTACAGAGCAATAGTATTCCTAGTGCCCCTGAGTCATGTGTGGCAGAGAACTAGGTGATCCTTTGTCTCAAGGAATTGTCAATCCAGAATTCACATGGAGGCAAGCTGAATTTGGTGTGCCAGTGTATTTAATGTTAGGAATTCTTTGTCTGTAGAGAAGTCATTCTTTTTTTTTTTTTTTTTTTTTTGGTCGTGGGACTTGAACTCTGGGCCTGGGTGCTGTCCCTCAGCTCTTCAGCTCAAGGCAAGCGCTCTACCACTTGAGCTACAGCGCCACTTCCAGTTTTCTGGTGGTTTATTGGAGATAGGAGTCTCACGGTCTCTCCTGCCCGGGCTGGCTTTGAACCGCGATCCTCAGAACTCAGCCTCCTGAGCAGCTAGGATTACAGGCGTGAGCCACCAGCCCCCGGCAGAAGTCATTCTTTAAGAGAAAAAGACAATAAGAAATGTACAAAAGGAGATCCCATTTTCTTTTAAACTAGTATTATGCAGGTAGGAGGAAAATAGGAGAATGGTAGTGCTGCTATTCTCTGATCAGGACAATAGCTTATGAGTTGTGCTGGGCATAGAGTGACATTCAGAATGGAAGCATTAAGAGTATGTTGATGAATAATTTCAGTAAATATTTCCTAGAAAAAAAATAGAAAAATCTGAAATACAGAAAAACATTATTTTCCATTTTAAAATGTCAGTACTACATTCATAGTTAGTACGTTGCAGAGAAAAGTTTATATTCTGCATAAAACAATGCTTTGATATTTGAAAATCTTGTCACAGTTAAAATGTGAGAAAATACCTTTACAGTAAGGAATGTGTGGATCTCATTTATGTTTTTGCCTATTTTTCTGTTATGCATTTTAGATGTCCCACAAATGGAGGATGTGATTAGCACCTGTCAGAAAAGTCACAATAAGTATCTCTCTGAAGTAGCAGTCAGGAATAAAAACCCAGAAGAGGAAAAAGTGAGACTTATAAGAAGTTTTAATTTGAGCTCAAAACAGAAGTCAGAACTGATTAAGAATAATGGGAACTCCTTAGGGATGAGGACAGAAAAGGTCACTGGGTGTCAGAACATGGATGTTTTCAGTGAACCTGGTAAGATGTGTGCTGTACATAGTCCCCAGGTGTCTTCTGTAGTTGAAGAATATAAACAATGTAAAAGGTCTTTCACTGAGAAGACACACCCTATTGTCCCTCAGAGAACACATACAGGAGAGAAACCATATGAAAGTAAAATGTGTGGAAAGATTTTCACCAGTAAGGCATACCTTACTGTCCACCAGAGAACACACACAGAAGAGAAACCTTTTGAATGTAACATTTGTGGAAAGTCTTTCACCTGCAAGACATATCTTACTGACCACCAGAGAACATACACAGGAGAGAAACCTTATGAATGTAACATGTGTGGAAAGTCTTTCACCAAGAAGTCAAACCTTACTGTACAACAGAGAACACACACAGGAGAGAAACCTTATGAATGTAATATGTGTGGGAAGTCTTTCACCAAGAAGTCACCTCTCACTGTCCATCAGAGAATACACACAGGAAAGAAACCTTATGAATGTAACATGTGTGGAAAGTCTTTTACCCAGAAGTCACACCTCACTGTCCACCAGAGAATACACATAGGAAAGAAACCTTATGAATGTAATGTGTGTGGAAAGTCTTTCACCCAGAAGACAACTGTCACTGTCCACCAGAGAAGACACACAGGCGAGAAACCTTATGAATGTAACATGTGTGAAAAGTCTTTCACCAAGAAGTCAAACCTTACTGACCACCAGAGAACACACACAGGAGAGAAACCTTATGAATGTAATATGTGTGGAAAGTCTTTCACACATAAGTCACCCCTTAATGTTCACCAGAGAAAACACATAGGAAACAAATCTTATGAATGTAATGTATGTGAAAAGTCTTTCACCCAGAAGCTGCACTTTACTGTCCACCAGGGAACACACACAGGAGATAAATCTTATGAATGCAACATGTGTGGAAATTCTTTCACCCAGAAGCTACACTTTACTGTCCACCAGGGAACACACACAGGAAAGAAACCTTATGAATGTAACGTGTGTGGAAAGTCTTTCACCCAGAAGATACACTTTACTGTCCACGAGAGAACACACACAGGAGAGAAACCTTATGAAGGTAACGTGTGTGGAAAGTCTTTCACCAAGAAGTCATACCTTACTGCCCATCAGAAAACACACAGGAAAGAAACCTTATGAATGTCATATGTGTTGAAAGTTTATCAGCCAAGATATATATGTTACTGTCAACCAGAGAGCACACACAGGAGAGAAATTTTATGAATGTAAGCTATGTGGAAAGGCTTTCACCCAGAACATACACCTTTCTCTCCATCAGAAAAAAAACCCACCAGAGAGAAATGTTATGCATGTAGCAGGCACGGAAATTCTTTCACCTGGAAGGCACAACTTAACATCCATCACAGAAAACAAGGAGAGAAACCTTATGAATGCAACCAGTGTGGAAAGACCTGGAGATCACAGCTTAACACACATAAGTTGATTCACACAAATGAAATAACTTAGGATTGTACCAAATGGGAAAGTCTTTGACTTGTAAGACACAGCTCAGGGTTCATCATAAAACACACAAAACACAGAGACACACAGACACACACACACCCTCACACACAAAGAGGGGATAAATCCTATGTAGGGAAAATAAATGGAAAGGTTTTCAAGAAAAAGTCCTAACTCAGTTTGCATCAGAGAACAGACACAGGCGAGAAAATAAAAATGTAACAATTGTGGAAAGTCCTTTAGCAAGTATTCATGGATCCAAGTTCATAGGACACACACAGCGGAGTAATCTTAAAAATATGACAAATGTGAATAAGGGAAACCATGGGACCTATTTTTTGCAATATCAAGTATATGTATGAGTCAAGCAGAAAAGGTCAGATAATGTGGTGTTAGGAAAATGAACCCTTAGCTATGTATTTAAATGTTGTTTTTTTCTTTCATGCATTTCTTTCTAATGCATTTATAAGATTATTTCTTTGTTGCTTTGTATGTCCCTCCCCCACAGTATAAGCCCTGCTTTCACTATATTTGATGTCAGTATAATTTCTGGAGGAGAAGGGGAAAAACAAGTCATTTAAGCATACAGGTGGACCTGTTGCAACAATGAGAAGTACAAGTTGTCATGTCGAACATGAACTTTACAACTTTGGTGGGGGGGGGAGAATAGGGTGGTGGGGCAGGGGGAGGCTGGGAAGGGATGTGAAGGGTAAACAAAGGAGGAGGCTGCAATGCTTGATAAGAAATGTACTCATTATCTTGCCCATGTAATTGTAACCCCTCTGTAAGTATGTTCACAAAAAAATAAAATAAAATGAAAAATATCAAAAATGTGGAAATCCTTTGATCAGAAAGAAATACCTCATGTTTATCAGAGAACTGACTCACATAGGAGAAAAGAAAGTAGTGCATAGAACATATGTGAAATGACTTTCAATCAGAACTGAGTATTCAGCATATGTGAGAGCAGAGACAGGAAAGAAATTATGAGTATAGAAAACATTTTGCCCGAAGTCCCATCTGTACAGGTATCAGAGACCTGGACACATGACAGAATCTCTGTAAATATAAACATGAGAGGAAGTCTTTCAACCAGAAGCCAACCTTCAGCAAGTATTAGAACATTCACCCAGGAAAGAAGCCCAATGTAGGAAAATCTTTGTCAGAAAACCTCTGTAAATTATACAGAGAAATCCTTCATGGCAGAGGTAAGCTGGGTGTGAAGGGAAACCATTCTTCACTCTTCAGCTTTCTTTGAGCCAACATTTCTCATCCTCTCATCCTGTTGAGTGGGGATGGTGTCATTCAATATTATCATTTGGCAAATACTTTTGCTTGAGCTCAAAATGTAAGGGACTTACTGCTCACTGAGTTGGTAAAGTACCCTTTCTTTCTTTTAATTTAAAACCTGCAATTAAAATGAGCAATGACATTCCCTCATGTGTGGAATGTTAGCTACTCAGGAGGCTGAAATTAGAAAGGTAGTATTTGTAGGCCATCCAATGCAAAAGCTTCATGAATATGGTTTCTTAGCCAATAAAAGGATGGATCTGGTCATATGTGCCTATCTTGTTTGCTACTTGTGATATGTAAGTATAAAATTAGTGTGTTGAAAGGCCCAGACAAAGAAGCAAGTCTCTAAGGTGAAAAATCAGTGATACAAAAAGGCATCTGGTATAGAAGGTGAAGGAAGCCTCACAAATTTTGTCCCTGAATTCAACCTGAGGACCGCTAATATGATCTGTGCAAACAATGCATTCTTCCAATTATTTAGTGGAAGAATTTGGATGTGGTTTACAGAATGATAGGTAAACAGACCTTTACTGAGATTGCAAAAGGACCTTTGCATATGTCTATATGAATTTTTTATCCTATTCTGTGGAAACCATGAGTCCTGCTTGGATCAAGTAGTTAAGATATCCTGATCTAACAGGGCACTGGTGGTTCACATTGGAATTCTTAATTGCTCAAGAGTATGAGTTTTAAAATCACAATTGAAAGGCCAACTAGGTAGGAAATGCTCTGAAACTGTTTTCACCTAATTTCCCACAAGTAATGCTGTGAATCATGTTGATAGACTGTCATCACTTTTGTTCCTTTATTACAAAATCTCAGGGACAGTACCCAGGCCCTGAGTAGAAAGAACTTCAAGGCCGGGGAAGATATTTTTTAAAATGGGTTCTTTGGCTTTCATGCAGGAAAGTTTCCACTCCTATAGGAATCTGAAATACTCCATAGGGTATAGTCATTGTCCGTCAATTGAAGTTGATATTGAAATGTCTTAAAGCCTGGGTAATGATAAATTGTCACACATAGTTTGGTATCTTTTGTCATGTGAATAGACATACCTATACCTTTATATTTCTGACTAGTTCATACGTCCTTGCAGAGGTTCAAGTTACTATGTAGGACAATGTGGTCCACATCTGTAGGAATTAGACATTCCAAGAGAGATCTCAACATATAAAATGTGGCCAAATATTTCAATATACTTGAAACAGTATCATAAGAAAAGAAGGAGTCAATAGTGATCATTTAAGATCCCAGAATACCAATATATTTGAATGAGAAAACAATGGTCTTCTAATGTGTGCACACAGATGTAGGAGAAAGAATCTTTTCAGTCTATTCTGTCCAGATGTGTAGAAGCAATTTTGTTGTTCTTCCCTTATGGATTGCACTTTATTTCACGGCCACTCCCAGGGGTGAATGACAGGATGTTTAGTTTCAGCTCATTCTAAAAACTCCTATGTCCTGAGAAGAAAAGTGGTGAACCATGATTTGGGTACATATCCACCCTAGACCTAACCACTAAGAGTGGGTTAAGTTATGTAATTTTTCAGAATGTCAATGGTCCTACCACAAGGTTCATCCTGTAGCAATATCCAAAGTTAGGCTTTAGAAGAGGTCTGCCTTTGTTCAAAGATTTCAACTCTAAATTGGATTATTTTCAATAGCCATTCATTGAATGTTACTGGATAAAGTATACAAACATAGTCACTTCTATGTTACAGAACGTTGTGATATCATCAGCAGGGGAAGTTCATATGACCCAAAGTCATGACCCTGAAGAGTCTGCTCTCCAGAGATCTAAGTGTTTAACCCAAAACCTCCAGTTCCCAAGCAATCTTGATCCCAATGATAGAGCAGGATTTTAGGTGAATCCTTGTTTCTTCCTGAGGTTAACCTGGAATGATGCATCTCACCGTGACTGGAAGGGACAGAACCTGGGATACTGAGCACAGTGGGTACTGAACAAGGCTCTCATAGAATTTTCACTAGAACCTCAGGTCCCACCCAAGGCCTCCTTCCTTTACCTTGAGCACTTATATCTTTAGTGTTGTCCACCTCTAGGTCATTTTTCCTCCCATAATTAGCAGAGTATTAAGTGTACATTTTTCCTGCTCCTTTGAGAAACATCTTACCCTAACCTCTCTTTTCTGTTTCCTCAATGAATTCTGAGGTTCTTTTAAATTTTTTTTGTTCATGTTTCTGGATCAGAAACATCCTTGTATGAAGTCCCTGTTATAAAGTTGTCAGTACTTTGAGAAAATCACTACTTGGAGCATCCACAGCTAACCATCTTTTCTTCACTTGTCCATGGGGTCTGAGCAAAACCAAGCCAAATCTTTATATGTGCATTCTAACTTAAATGTTTGTTACCAAAAGTTTGATGTAGAGACTTCATCAGGTGTGTTGGAAGTTGTTTGGTCTCATAATGCAAGGTACAGGAAAGAAAAGATTGGTGAGGAGACAGCCAAGGAAAGGAGCACAGTGCCAAAGTCTTCATGCAATATGCAAGCCTGGCAAGCCCCTTGGGACAGGAGTGAGGAGCCCAGAAGAGGGCCTGTGCTACCATTCAGTACACCACCAGCACCACATGGCACCTCCAGCATGGGACATGGTGTGCCCAGGTTTCAGGAGGGCTGACTGTTGACACAGGGACCTGTTAGTCAAGTTAAGCCAGTGGCCTAATGTAATTGTCTTGTCTTATGTAGATGATACAATTGCTGTGGACAAGAAGAATTGGTAGTAAAACTGTTGTCTGATGAGCTAGTTAAAATTCTTCAGGATATTTGTGTGTGTGTGTGTGTGTGTGTGTGTGTGTGTGTGTGTGTGTGTGTGTCCTAAAAAAAAATTGAAAAGTAGTTCAGAGAGAACTCAAATGACAAGAGTGTCAGACTTAATTCCTCAGCAAGATGGATCCTTTACAATCACAACCAATAAGTGAAAAGGAAAGGTTTCCTTCACTTATTTTTACCTACCTTCACAAAGACCATTGTGTTCAAGATAATAAGAACAGAAATGTATGTGTTGATGCTTACTGTTGTACAACAGCTAGTTTACAAGTGACAGCAGAGGCATAAGTCTCTTCTGTGTGCGGCCCTGCACTCACTGGAAAGGAGGACAGTAGTATTGAAAGTGAAATAAAGTCACTTGTAAGTTTGTCTTTTAAATTGCAGGGAAGCATTGACTAATTTAAATGAGCAGACTTTTTGTTTTGCTGGTCCTTAGGCTTGACCTCAGAGGCCAGGTGCTGTCCCTGAGCTGCTTTTGCTAAAGTGTAGCATTCTACCACTTGAGCCACAGCACCACTTCCAGGTTTTTCTGTGCATGTGGACCTGAGGAATAGAACCCAGCTCCTCATTCATGCGATGCAAGCACTATACCACTTTGCTACCTTGCTTGTACTATAAGTAGACTTTTTATGTTAAAAGAAGAAAGAATAGGTTGGTATGGAGTATCCACCTTCCATGTGCAATTCCCAAGGTTCAATCCCCCAAAGTGAAAGGAAGAAAGTAGAAAATGGAATGATATGAAGTATACAGATACAAGAACAAAGAAAAATAGAAGAACAAAGGCAATGAGCAAGTTTTTAGGG